TATTTTGCAAATTCCCTCGTGATGTAAACTACACACGAGTAGATAAGCTTTCAATTATTAAAAGTGTCAGCGAATTTGTTTGTCACCAAAACGGCACAAAAAAACTCAACTCACCAACTTGAAGATTGGTGATTCTTAACACGTGTCGGATTGTGAGTGGTTTGAATATAGGCAAAGGAAACCAAATCGAACCCTGGTCGGTCCCATTTACTGCATGAAACTATCTTATTGTTGAGAGACTAAAATTGAAAGAAAGTCTATGCTTTGATAAATATCTCAAAGGAACTAGAGTTTTTGATTACTCCAAGTGACACCTAAAAAAACTCATGAAAGCAGCTTGTAATACTAAATAGGAGAGTGAAACCTATCCAAGGAAGTTGATGATCACCAAGTGAAGAACCAAGTTGCAGAGAACAAAATCGGCAAAAGCTCGCTCCGGTGCCAAATCCTGCAGAATTTGAAAGGAAGAGGTGACTAATTCTGGATATTAGAATATCCAGGAATCTAATAGTGTAATGTAATAACAATATCTTTTTTTTTTTGAATGAATGTAATAACAATATCAAGGATAAGTTTCTAAGTAAAATTGATTCAACATCTTTACAAAACCTAGAAACCAAAGGATCTCGGACGATACTACAAACCAAACTAAATCCTTGGAATAATCAGAATGTGTAAACAGTTTTCTGCCAAATTTTCTTTAAAACACTTATCTCATAGCAACAAATGACATATACTCATGTTGATATCGAATATAAGCCACATTCCCAACAAATCCTCCTATGTTAGTGTTACATTAGTCTTGCACTACACTAACTAAGACCACCTTATTATAATGATTACAGTGTCACTACGGTTTAGATGGATACATTCGAGTGTGAATGGATATAAATATTAACCAACTAAAAATTGTGATGACAAAGAAACAGTGGGTTTGATCGTTAAGTGGAAAAGAAATTGTCATCTAAATTAGTTCTGAAAATATGTAAAGTTACCTTGAATTCCTTGTTTTCTTTGTTCACTTGAATCCGGAGGCAAACTACAAACAGAATGTAAAGAAGATTGTTAGTTTTATATATTTATCAAGGTAACAGTAATAGACTCTATTGTAAAACATGCTAAACTCACCAGCAAGAACCGCTGTTCCGATACAAGAGAGAACTCCAGATAGGAATGAGTTAAACGGAAACGATCCCACCAAAGCCATATAAGCCACCTATTCAGTCAAAAAACCAACAACAAGAGAAAGCTCTAAAGATCAAGTTCAGTTGCAATGGAGAAGTCAAATTACTTACCAATGAATTTTGTACTACTGAAATAAAGCTCTAGAGATTAAAACTCAGTGTACAGGTTCCTAGTCTTTTTCCAACGCTAGTGAACAAATTAAAAAGTTTTAAATACTACTCATAAGCAACATTAAAGACAAATTACATATCCATGAATTTTGTACTACAGAAACAAAGCTCTAGAGATTAAAAAAAAAAATCAACAACGCAATGTCCAGCTGCTTAGTCTTTTACCCATTACACTGTTAGTGAACGAATGAAGAATTTTTAAATGCTACTCATGAGCTACAGAGAAGTCAAACCCTTACTTATATCCATTTTAACCTAGTGATTTAAATGTAAAGACACGAAGAACAAGAGATGCTTCATTTCCTCAGGTGATTATAGAGTGCAAAATTTTGCCTTGAATCCTTAGAAAACACAGAAGAATTTACCATTTCATTCCAATCAAAGCGAAACACAAAACTGATGCGTAACAGAACAAACCCATTTACACGAAACTGCATTGTACTCGAAGTTATAGATCTAAATCGATATCTTATTCTACAATGTTTCTACCAAATTTCATAACACGAACAGATCCATGAGAAAATCTAAAGTTCCGTATCAAAACGACTCGAGAATCACAGATGCAGAGAAGCCATAATTCAAAAACAAATTTAAGAGTACCTGAATCAGAGCGGTGAAGACAGCGAAAACGACATACAAGTCGATGATCTGCGAAATCAAATCCCAAGAAGAACATTCAATTTCGAATGGATTCGAAAACCAAAAACAAACCATTGATTCCACAAAAAAGAAACAATAGCGAACCTTGAGATTGGTGGGAGTAGCGCAATAAGCGGAACGAAGAGAGCGAAATAGATCTTGAGCATCTTTACTAGTCGATGATTTCACCATTCTCCAAGATCGAACAAACACAAATCTCTTTTATCTTCGTCT